GCAAGCTAAGGTTCCTGTTTCCTGGTGCCATGTGCCGTGAGGTGCAGCCCTGCAGTGTTTCATCATCAGCCAGCACCACACTGAATCACAGCATCACTAACGTGTGTAATTGCTTGCAGAAAGGTTCAGTTTAAGAATGTGTCAAACATATAATTTGATCAGGGCGTGTGAGTATCCATGCATGGGTTGGTGGTGGTGCATTCTTACGGCCATGAATCACACAGCATTTGAGCCACCTACCTCCTCCTTGTAGGGAAGCTGCAATATTCTGTCCTGTTGGAAAGAAACCTGGACTAGCTCTTTAGAAGTTGATGGGGCTCTCAGCACACAATCTATTTCAACATCCCAGCCTTTTTGTTAGACAAGTGATATTCATGATGTTGCTGAGAAACAAGAGCTTCTAATCTAATAGACTAGACAATTTTCATTTTCTGGTAATAACAAATATTCTAAAATGTAAAAAGTAAAGCATCGGTATGGCATTTACATTTCTGAATAGCTCTATTTGTTGTAAAATGTTGCTGTTTTTAATGGGGGGGATATACTGTGAGTTTATTAAAGTTGGTGCAGGCTTGTCAGCTGAACAGATTGTGCATTAGAAAATAGCATTAATTTTGCTGCATGAGGAAGTGTTTCTGCTCGGGATTATACTGTTGTTTAGAAGACAGGTAAGATTAAAAGTCATCTTCCCCGTAGGCACTGACCAAGCTCCCTGCATACCTCAGCCTGTAGTTGCAAATCTCCGGTGCAGCGCCGTGAGCAGCAGAGTCCGTCAGCGCGGGACGCCTCGGCCGGCTCGGCCCCGCCGCACCTGCGGAGCACGGACAGGGCTGTGTCACCGCGACACGGCACCAGGGCCGGCAACCGTTCCTCTGGCACAGCCCCGGCTACAGCTCCTGCGGGACTTTGCCCGTTTCCCACACCTACAAAGGAATCACATAATGGATAACATCTTTCTCCAGTATTCGTGGATTAACTAAATAAAGATAATTTGTCCCATAAAGTTGTGTTTGGAATGCTGCAGCACCCATGGAGCAGAGGCCACACTTCTCCGATGTTTTACAGTATCATGAACAACAGATTTGTGCTGTAAAAGCAGAATTTAAAGAGCAAGTTTGAGTGGACAAGGGATGCTGAGGTACAGCAAAGCTTGTGCTCGAGTCCATCAAACTGCTAATTGCAGCTGAACTGCAGCTGTGCAGCACATCTGGGAGAGCCAGGAACAATGCATCCCATCCCAAATACCTGCATGAACCTTTGCAGCAGTTTTCAACACAAATCAGGTACTAATGCACAAATTATCCTGGTTAGCTACAGGAGCCTGATGACCTGATCTGCATGGTCAGCTGCAGCATTAGTATGAGAATTATGTGCAGCTTTTGCAGGCAAAAGTGCATGCCCCAATTAGATTAAAAGGTGGATGCTCTATTATCCCTGCACTACTTTACCATCCTTTTAACTGGAATGTGTATGTTACTGGCTTTCACTATAACCCTGAAACACATGTTGAAGATATAAGAAATAATTCACTAAAACTATTGAATAAAAGTTTTTAAGTAAGCATATTTATCCTTGAATAATATAATTCTCATAAATTTTAAAATTCTGGGAACAGAAAACATCTCGTTTGATAATAAATACCTGCAATTGAAACTCCTATGTTAAAAACTTTGTTAAAGTTATTATAGGAAACACTTGTTTTCACAGTCTCCCAGAAAAAGGATATTTTTAACATCCCACTGACTGTATGGGGACAGAGAAGGTGAATGTGAGGCCGAGCAGACACCAATTACAGCCTCACAAAACCACAGAGGAACCAGCAGATAACCCGGGACTGGCACAGGAGCCAGGCCCACGGCTGCCAGGGAACACAGCACCTCCAGGGTGAGCACTCAGGTTTGGATAAGGGCCTGGCAGGGGACACCAGTGGAAACAGAACTGATAAGTGGCTGAAATGCTTCTTGTACCTGGACTTTCACCCTTTGGCTCTAGGAAAAGAACTAACACGTGATTTTAAAGAAGAAACCATGTGACAGTAGTATAATCAGAATAGCATTGGACTATCAAAGACTATTGAATCGAGATACAGAAACACATTCTCATCAAAAGTAACATAAACTCTTTATAAGCTGTATGCGATCAGCAGTCCAGGTGAGACACAAAATGGAGTGAAGACAGGCATGGCCACTTTTAGCAGTAAAATAGGAACACTTGCTGAAAATTTAATTTTCATTTCTTTCATACCAAATTAGAAAAGGGGCTTACTTCAGTGAAAAATTTTACTGCAGCAAGGGAAGACTTTGCACAGGGCCAAGGTTCCCCACACAGGAACCTCAGAGGCAGGATTTGTTTATCTTCTTTTTAATGCTATTGAGAATGTCACGTAGAGCAGGACACACTTAGAGATTGTTCTCTTCCTTATGTTTCTAATGTAGAGGAAAGGCCACATGAGTACTGCGAGTGGAATTTCTGAAACTTTTGCATCTATAAGAACAATAAAGTGGAAACTTGCCGTTCTAGAATCTTGCTTGAGCCACAGAGAAGTCACTATTCACTAGTGAACAAAAAGAAGAAAAAAAATGCTCATTTCTTGTGATTTATCCCAGTGACAGGGTTAATGACACAGGTAGACATGCCCATTGACTCATTAAATTGAATTGCAAGACATAGCTACAAGTCAATTTCCTTTGGTATGTGCTTAGGCACCTTGTAATGACAGTATTTGTGTCACTGGAATTCAGTCCCGACCTAAAACTGCACTGATCTTTCACTTCAAATCTGTGGAGGCATTTTCATGCAACTCTTTCCCTTCCAGAGCTGCGTGGCTGTAACAGCTCACATCTTTTGTAGGTCAGGCACCGCGACGGACGTGAACCGTGTACATGAGCTGGCTGCAGCAGTACAGTCACTGCAGGTGCCTTGCTACACAAATATGTACACGCGCAGAATATTAATGACAACTTTCATTCAGAGGCAACATATGAATTATCAATGAATCCAGTTTCCGTGTTTAGCAGGAAGCGTGTGGCAAGGGCTGACGGAACGTTTGGAATCATAATCTCAGCTGTAGTAGCTACTGCTGTGTGTGCCACCCCAGATGGCAAAAACTCCCCTGAAGAAGCCTGGCTCACGCTGCAGCAGAGCTGTGCAAGCTGCAAACACTACCTTTAGGAATATTCTGAGGGAAAAACTGAAGTTGAGATCGGAGGGAGCTGTGCAATTTGGATCTGCCTGTCCCCACTGAGGTGCAGGGTCTGTGTTTGCTATTATCAAGGTACATGGTGGCAATCAAGGACGTGATCAAGAAAAATGGGCTCTGAGACTCCTCACCCTTCAGCTGTGCTGGCAGCTGGGACTTCTTTTCCACTCTAGTATCAAGCAATGATATTACAAGGAAGGCCAGCTGTAAAAGGAGAATAAAATACCAGTGTCCTAACAATCTCTAGAAAATTCATTAATTCCCATGAACCAGATTTAATTTTTGGGGTACATGCTAGTCATCACTTGAATATGCACCCCAAAATACTTGAAATATTTTGAATTTTGAGGCTGTCAAAACAGTTTTGTCTGCTTTGCAAGTAGAGGGAAATAAGGCCAAGGTAATTTGGGCAACCATTTGAAAATCTTCCCCTAAATTTCAGTCCCCTGTTTCTTATGTTGTCTGTGAAATAACCCTGACGAGTGTGGTGTAGGGGGTTTGCACAGCACTGCCTTGTCTACTGCTCTATAAAATAAACAAGAGCAAGCCAGGGGCCAAGGCCCAGCGCAGGCAAGGCTGACACCAGCACCCTCAGGTGCTCTGGGTACAAACACAGAGATCCATTAGGTAACTGTTGCATTGTAACCTCCACTGCTACTCACAGGAGTAACAGACAGGACTGTAAAGTTTTGATTATGAAATTTTCAGTGTCCCTTGAAGTTTCTTTCAGTTTTTGCTCTCTGGATAATTTTCCACACGGAATTACCTCTTTCCTTGGGTCAGCATTTCAGAGAGCTGTGTGGCCCCACTCCCACTGCATTGCTGCCAGCGCGGGACGTGGCTGTGGTCACTGTCCCTGGCCAGCGCAGCTGGGAACTCACCCTGCTGGGCTGTGCAGAGTCCTGGGCAAGCACTGCTGCCCCTGACACAGATCACTGTAGAGCATGGGGACTGATAACTACAAACTGATGGCAGAATTGTGCTGGACAGAGCTGCTCGGCTGTGCCAGCCACACAGGAGCTGGGACAGGCAGTGCCAAGGCTCTGCTGTCACCTCCTGTGAGTGCATGGGTTAAAGCAGCACTGGTCTGTGCCTCAGTTTATCATCAGGAACTACCATTTTGAGATACCAAACAAAGGACATTTTGAGATTTAACTAAATGGGGTTTGTAGATAATGTGAACATTCAGTTCCCAGTGTAAAATGCGAGTAGTTCTATGCTACCCCTGTGAAGGGGCTCTGGGGGTGCACAAGGCAGCCCCCAGAGCTCCCCTCACACGGAGGTGATGGACACAAAGGACCCGAACCTTCTCTCAGCTGATCAATCTGACCTAAGGGACAAGGTCACCCACTAAAACGGAGCTGTGCCAGGAAGGGATTCCTGGGAGGGACGCTCGGAAAGCACTACAGCGCCCGGTGCCTGCGGGAGGCCAGGGGCGACGTGGTGTACCGGCGGTGCCTCGTCTTCCCGGTGCTCGGTGACACTCGCCGTGCCCGGTGTTGGCGTGCCCGGTGCCACTGCTGCGGCGCCCGGTGTTTTCCGGGTGTGCCTGACCCTCGTGGCCTGCACGCTGTGCCCGGTTCTGCCGGTGTGTTCCCGGACGGTCCCGCTATTCCCGGTTCTCCCGGGCCGCCCCCTCAGGCGAGCGGCCGCGCAGTGCACGCCGGGAAGCGCGCGCGGCACGCCGGGACACGCACCCGGCGCCTCGGCCGCCCAAGATGGCGGCGGGCGGCCGTCCCCGCCCCCGGCCGCGCATGCGCAGCGCCGCGGCGGCCGCGCCGCTCCCGCCCTCCCTCCCGGCGGCCGCGGCGCCTCTGACAGCGCGGAGCGAGCGGAGCGTCCCCGAGCGCCGGGACCGCGCACCGGAACCCCCGCACCGGGACCGCCACCCCGCACCGGGACCCTGACGCCGCACCGGGACGCCGCGCCGGTGAGTGGGACAGACGGGTGGCGCCAGACCCGCGCAGCACAGCGAGGCGGCGGCGCCGGCGCCGGCGGGGCTCGGTAAGGCCGGGGCCCGCCGCCCCCCCGGCCCGCGGGTTGTCCCGGCCCGGGGCACGAGCGGCCGCCGCTTTCCTCTCCGCTCTCCCCCTCCTCTCCCGCTCCCCGCCCTCGCCCCGCTCCCCCCCCCCCCCCCTCCTCGCTCTCAAAATGGCGGCCGCGCCCGTTGGTGAGGAGGGACCGGGCGGGGCGGGGGGCGGCGGGGGGGCCGGCCCGGTGTCCTCCCCCCGGCTCGGTGTGGGGGGGCTCTGCGGGCCGGGGCGCGGCTCCCCCGCTCCCCGCGGATCCCGGCCCCACTCCCGCGGTGACTCTGCAGGAAAACAGGGCCCGGTGGGAGCGGCGGGGCGGGCGCGGAGCCGCCGCCGGGCCCGTGTCCCCCCCCCCACCCCTCGGGCCGCGCCGCTCCGTCCGTGACTTAGCAAATACCGGGAGGAGGCGATGGGCCAGGGTAAATAGCGATAAAATAGCCTTCAGGGACGACGGGCCTGGTTTGTGCGCGGAGGGGACCCCGAGCATCCCTCCCCGGTTCCTGCCGGGGCTTTCTCCCTGTCACCCCTCCTCGGGCAGGGCCGGGCGTCGGGCGATGGCCCAAATGACCAGCGCGGCCGAGGCACCGAAAACAAGATGAGAATTAATAATCCAGGGAAAGGAGTAGGTGTTGTTTCAGAATTTGGCTCGCATCCCCAGTTTTCCTGCAGTGCTCAGCAGGGCAGCAGCGATAGGAGGTGGCTCAGACCTTCAGAACCAGCTGCAGTAAAACGGGGGAGGGAGGTCTGATCTCTCCTTCTGGGGGTCATATCTCTGCCTGGATGGCTGCAGGTGCACAGGCTTCCCGTGAAAACCTTACAATATTGCTTAAATCCTGTATTAATTGCTGCTCCCGAGGTTTTGTTTCCACAGGAGGTTATAGGCAGGCAGGGCTTTTGATGGAAGTTGGGGGGTGGGAGTGGTGCCTCCCTTGAAAAGTTTAGGGTTTGTTCAGTTCTGTGGGCGTGAGATTTTTTTAATTTTTGTTTTGTTTTGTTTTTTCTTTTTGTTTAAGGTGGATGCAATTAAACTTGACCTTTAATACCGATAATAATGTGACACCTTCCCTTTCTTTGCCATGGTATCACTCGAACCATTTCAATAGTGCTGCAGCAGTGGGCTTGGTTGGTGCAGGTCAAGTCCTTTCATAATGAATTGCCTACTAGGGATGGGGGAAGGTTAATCTAAGCTATATTAAAAATCTTTAATAAACACCGTTTTAATATAATTAAATGTTTGGGCATATTGACCTGGCTAAATTATGTATTTTTGTGGTGATTCTTTTAAGTATATGTTCCTATGACAGTATTGTTCATGGCATTAGGAGGTGGTGGTTAAAGAACCTCCGTTCAGTGATGATCATTTTGTAAATGATTGTGCAGCATTTGGCTGGTTTTCGGGAGAGGGAGGGTCTGCTGTCAGAATGTTATTTGCCCTTAGAGTAATTTTATTAAATAGGAAAATTATGTTGGGGAACTAAACAAAGAAAATATTTTTAAACTGTAAGATGCGTTGCAAATATCCGGCTTGTTCTCGGGCATCTCGTTTTTGTGTGTTTCTGTTGCTGTTCCCATGTTTGTGGATGCTGTGAGCAGCCATTGAGCAGGGAAGAGACTGGGTGGAGTAAGGAGGCAAAGCTGCGAAATGGCTCGATTACCCTTTCAGAGCTTTTTTTTCCTCCCTTTGCCGGGGTGGAGGAATACTAATTGCCGTAACAATGAAGTCTCTTCTTTAGGGAAGAATCTAATGGTGCAGGAAGCTTCGGAAATGAAACAAATCTCACATTCTGTTCTGAGACTGATTTTTCTGCAGGGTGGATTTTGATTTGTCTGGCAGTGAGAAGTGACCAGTCACTGTTGCAAAGCCGGATTTTTTTTGTCTGATAACTGCTTCAATTTATCCACTGAGATATGCACTTGTTGAATTGATTTTATTTACACTTTAGATAAGAATTGCAATTTTTATGCCGGTGTTTCGCACACAAGATTTTCTGGGATCTGGAGAAGCCTCTGTATTGTGGCTTCATGCTGTTATTTGTTCATGGAACTTCTTGGTTAGAGCGGATTATGGGTGGGCACACAGAAAAAGACAATCCCTGGTTTCTCTGGTGACCACAGTGGAGTGACTGCTGTCAGTGTACAGACTGGATTGCAGTGCCCTTCGTCATGTGCCAGGTTCTTGTAAAATAACATCTCAGGATTTCAGAAGCCCTTTTGAGCACTGTAGCTCTGTAGGAGCATTGCTGTCCCTCTTGGATACTACTGCTTAAAGTTATGTGGGAAAAGCGTTTGAACAAAGGATGTGGGGAATACAATAGGGATTGGAGGAAGCACCTAGGAAAGGCTGCCTATGGAAGTGCTCTCCTGTTCCACATGTGCCTCATGGCATTCCCATCTGATTTCAGTGCTGATTGGAGCAAGTGCAGCATTGAACATGGATGGTTCTGAAGCAGTCTGAGGTTTTGCTTTTTCATGGGGGTCTCACAGAGATGGGCACACAAGAAAGAGACTGCTTCTCTTAGTATGCCCAAAATTAAAATAAGAGGCAGTGGTTTCTGCATTATTTCTAGTTCATTCACTTGGAGTAGATGTTCCAGGATTCAGTGGCTGCATGAGCCAAATACCTGAGTCTAATGTGTATCCAGGCTAAGGCCAATGAAGAACCTAGCAAAACACTTTCCATCTTTACAGCTTTGGTTGATTTTTGCCCTTGAAATGATGGCAGTCACTTTTTCTACAAGAGTAACCTGTTCATTTGGGTTCTGCAGAACCAAAAGGCATCAACAGTTCCTTTCTGGCTGCCCACAGGCTCTGTCTTGCCCGTCCTGCTGACCCCTGTGCCTGTCCTGGCTCCTGTGCTCCTCCCAGCCTGAGAGAGCTCAGGTTATGTCTTTGCTCTCAACTTGCTGTGGATGGGACAGCTCCAGAATTAACATCTGCTGACTGCCTTGTCCACTACTGCAGCCTTGTCTTCCATGAAGAACTCCATAGCCCATGTCCATCATTAATGATAATGTATTTATGCTTCTTGTGGAGTATTCTGGGCAGACAATAGCTGGGCCCCTCTGCCTCAGGGTAGCTCAGGTATAGACTCCATATGTTTGTAAGTTTTTTTACGACCCCCTGTAGCTGCCCTGTATTCCTGAGCTAGAGGGGTTGGAATTACCAGTACGAAGGAGAATGACATTGGAACAGTTTGGTTTAGGTCAGCTCTCTTCTACTTTGGTGAACTTGAGGCCCATTTTCTAAACTAAAGGCAAAGACAGGGAGAGCAGCTGAAGCATCCATGAAGTGGGCACTGAAATACTTCTCAGGCTGAAAATAAGAGCTGTGTAGGCCTAAATTCAGGAAATCAAGAGGACAATAGAAATCTGTAATTATTATTAATGATAATAATTTCAGATTTCCTATAGGGTGCGGGGGAGTTTCCAGCCTCTAACACGTACTTTGTGATGGCAGCTGAAGATGTTTCCCAAGGATCAGAGCCATGTGTGTTGATGGAATGGTGCTGGGACTCTCCTGTGGGGTTTGTTGCAGAGAAGTCGCTCCGTTAAGCACTGTCCATACTTGCAGATCTGTCAGTGACGTTACAACTGGCTCCTCTTTCTCCCTTTTATAAGAGCTTACGTATCATTGGCAGGACAGCCTGACTACTAAAAATGTATTGCACTGGGGAAGCCTTGCCTGGGTTCCGGGGCTTTCTCAGGAGCTACTTTATGACCTGACACGAGGGAAATGGGGCTCCTAATGTGGCTTTTGAGGCTTTGATTCATGGTGGTGTTGCTTTATCTTTTGATCTGCCTGACAGAGTAGGCTACACTTTTAATTTTTTAGAAGTAGGCATTTACACTAAGATACAATCCTGACCTGTTTAAACTCAGTTTTCAAGTGCATAAAGCTGTTTCCTCAGAATTCTTGCTCTGAATGCTGTCCATGCTAGGGGGGTGTGGAGGGCTGTGCTCTGTGGGCAGGATGATGACACCACTGTGGTGCAGAGGTGTGGTGGGAGCTGTAGCTCTGTCATATCAGCTTATTGGTGGGGTTCTGAGCCTAAGTTGGGTTAAATGTCTGATTTTCATGTATTACAGTTATTTTAGAACAAAACTTGTCTTCATTCCTACCATTTTCTTCATTCCTACCTAGTTCTAGGACCTACTGATGAACAGTACACATTAAAAGCCTTGGCAGAACCAGGATTTTATCTGATGAGACACAGAATTCCAGTTTTACCCTGGAGATGCCAGCTGCTGCGGGTTGGCCCGACAGATGTCTGTTGCTAACCTGTATCTTATCCCAGTTGTTTAAAAAAGGGCCTTTTCTTCTAAGTTGAGGCAGAAGTTGGATGAGACAATGTTTGTCTCATTCATAATGTTTAAAAGCTTATTCTGTTTTCTTTTTCTTTAGCCTCCTCCTTTCTCCTTAAGGGATTAGATAGGTGTGATTTAGGCCCTTTTGCTTTTAGTTCACTGTCTTGGAAGCCACCTATCATTTCACTTCCTGCTAGCATCTAGTGTCAGGAAATTTCAAAGAAAAATGTTATGTACGAAGTAAGTGTATGCTGAACTCCATTTCCTTGTGACTATAAACATACAATCCTTTCAAAGCTAATGTTGTGCACGGCGTTGCCACACTGACCAATACCAAGAGCACGGATGCATATATAACTATGTAAAAAAATCAACATTATTAATTCAAAGTACTTGCTAGTTAATACATTTGGAATTATTTTTGCCATTTCCTCCTTAATGGTGCTGCTTCTGAGTGAGTTCTGCAGCTTGGCTTGAAAGTACTTGCTGCAGCTTTGAGAAGGTGTTTGCAGAGATGGGCCCATCCATGGCTGAGGTTTGTAGGTGGTGCAGCAGGAGTGTCTGTCCTGTAATTTCCTCGGATCCGTTGTTAAGTA